ATTCATTCATTAAAATGTTCATTTGCTGGTGTTATAGTTGGATCCTTGGAGCCATAAATGTGCGAGGGTATGAGTGTAAAGTTTGTATGTAAATATAGATGCTATATGCATATCAGGGCATATCAGAGAGCCGGTTCAAAGCAGTGAGCACAGAAGCTCTCCACACCTGCCACTCTTTGACACTTGCATGTGCTGTTTGTGTTTGTCGTGTGACATATAGTGTGTGTGTGTGTGTGTGTGTGTGTGTGTGTGTGTGTGTGTGTGTGTGTGTGTGTGTGTGTGTGTGTGTGTGTGTGTGTGTGTGAGAACAGTTCATCTCTACACAGCTAGGTTTTTCTGCTTGAAGTGTAATGTAAATCACACATTTGCCATTAGCAGGTGAAATTAGAACCGTGTCTGTCACAGGTTATTTTGAAATAGACTTGTGAATGCAGGCTAAATTACAGGAGTGTTTATAGCCCTATATTGCAATAACGTGTTACTGCTGAAACAGCAACTGATCAAAGTGACATATACCCGCTATCCGTCCTGTAAGATAGCAGAACAATAAACACTTTAACCATCAGCCAGGGTGACGTCTTAATCATACAGTTGTTCCCGCCCGTCATCAATCTGCATGAAAAGCAATGACCTCATCCTACTAGCTCATCTATGGCCTGTCAATCTGCACATTTCTGACAGATGTGGCCCACTCTTAGCCCCTCAAACAGACACGCTCTCATCGCTTCTCCAGGCTGCAGCACAGCCTTTGTGGAGCTGAGTGGGACATGTGTGCAATGATGTCATGTTTGGAGGTGGGTGAGGGGGGGTGGAGGGGGTTTCACATTGAGATGCAAATGTCCCCTCATAGTAGAGGGGACAGCTGGAGGGGCACAGAGGATGGCGTCATGTCTCCCCTGATATGAACCACAGAGGAGAACGGTGGAGGGAGGGGTGTGGGGTAGTCATTCAGGCAGATCAATGCCCCCAGGCTGTGAAGGGTTATATGTGTATGTGTGTGTATGTACATGCTGGCTTGTGTGTGTGTGTGTGTGTGTGTGTGTGTGTGTGTGTGTGTGTGTGTGTGTGTGTGTGTGTGTCTGCCCTCTCCATTAACAGATGAGTTAAAGAGGACAACTGCAAGCTACACAGAGGCAGAGGGAGGGGGTGAGCTTGTATTGACTAGGCAGTCAATTGTACCAACAGCAGTGACGTAACAGCAGAGCTCCTATTAACCATAACAGCCAGGGCAGGTGTTGTGTGTATCTGTTCATCTGGTCAATATCTCCAGGATTCCACTTCCATTCATCTCTCAGCTTTCTGCATCGATTCGCCCAGCAGCACAGCTCCAAAAACCCTGAACTGGATCCAAACGTCTTCTGCTAAACACACACTTTTCATGTCTGTTGGATAATAACCAGCATCTTTAAACTGTGAAATGTGAATATTAAGTTGGTTGAAGGAAATGATTGATGAGGAGAGAGACCACCGCTCGCTACCAGCAAACAAAGGAGGCCTGAGTGCTCGGCTCTGACAGGGCAAGAGAGGAAAATAAGCAGTTGCATAAGTGATGAAGTGGGCAGAGGAAAACGGAAAAAGGAAGTCACCGCTGGCTAGCATTGCTGCTGGCGACACAGTGCCCTCTTTCCCGGTTGTGTGTTTTCTTTCCTACGAGAGAAATTATTTTTTTTTTATTTTATTATTTTTTTTTTTTTTTTTTGAGAGCATGTGTTCAGAATTGGGTTAGTCACATCCTGTCCAAGTACATTTTCCAGAAGTTAAAGATACATGACGTAGTGCAGTGCAAAAGGTGATCTAGTCGCCCAAAAATAAAACTTTGAATAGTATTTCTGTGAGGCACAAGATCATGACTTCAGCGTGACGGTTTTCATCACAGGGGCCTTTGTTCTTGTAGAGAGTTCATTTTCAGATTCAACCTTAGTGTAGTATTCAGCTTTGTGCTTCTTGTTTAAGTTGATTTAGTTTTTCCAAGTTGTTAAGTTTATATCTTGAGTTTAATACAGCCGAGTGTTAGTCTCTGCTGATTATCATGCTGCGCTGAAGGTGAACTCATCTCTCCCAGTTGACTTTCTGATGTCATCTTTGTGGACAGCTGGGCTGGTGTGTGTCACAGGGTATTTTCAGTGACCTCAGTGTGAATGTACAGTGTGTTTATGTGTGCGCTTTGTGTGCTGAGATTGGAATGGACGGATGTGTCATCGTTTTCTTTCGGAGAATGTGAGGACATGTCTCTTTGGGTTATTTGGTGCTGTTGTGTGTGTGCGGTGTGTGTTTGTGTGTGCGTGTGCATGCGTGTGTGTGTGTGTGTGTGTGTCATTGTGTTCATGTGCCCTTTGGACACTCAGTGTGTGTGTTTTATTCCATCTTGACAACACTCGGGGACACGATGAGCCAACTGTCATCAACATCACTGCCCTTCCTCATCATCATGACAACCTTAAGTAGAGTGGGGTCAGGTGACGAGGTGACAATAACATGCTATCTCCTGTGTGACTAACATCCATTAGCGCTGGCCATCTAAAGCTTTGACTGCACAGAAGGTGTTTGTAATTGTGTTGACGTAATGTGACTGTAATGTAATAGCCCTTAAAAAACCAGGCAGGCACACTCAGTCCTGCTCTCTTATCTCTGACTTCAATCTCCCTTCATGCCAGTAACCCCTTACTCACTCTCCCAGTCACACACTGGCTCGCCAGTCTTCCTGCCGCTTTACTATTTATTTAACACGAGATGAGGTCAGCTACAGCAATCATGTCTGTAATTATTAATCCAGATGCACTCAAGATTAAAGGGCAAGAATATTTTTAGGAAAGTATTTTCATTCATGTGTTCACTTCCCTTCATACACACAAACACACTTTCTCAGTGTGAGTGTTAAACACTCACACGCAAACACTGTCTCTGCCGTGGAACGTCCTGTCTTCTGTCCTTCTAACAACTCTCTAACAATGTCCTCGCATAGAAAAGGAAATGGTTGAAGTGTGACGTGAGGCTTTTCCTGTTGATTTAACTGTCTCCAGGAACATACCGCTTCCTCACACAGATACAGTATATCCCTGTGGCGGAGGTTATATGTAGCACCATTTATTTTCTTTGCAAGTGTGTGTGTGCGTGCGCATGCACAGGCTCCATACCAGCAGCTTGGGAATGGAGAAACCAGGAAGAAACCCTTCAAACAACTACCCTTCCTCCTTCTGTTTTATCAATTAGTGACGTTGTTGTACCGCCCAAAGGATCACTTGAAAGAGGCTCTGGTGGAGATTTACAGTGCCAGCACAGTCTAAAGCCAAACTGTAAACTACATATGTCTGTTTAGTCTACATTATAGAGGCCAAAAAGGTTAGAATACAGACTCATGCTAGCACAGCAGCGATCCGTCAGTCTCTCCTTCTTTGCATTAAACTTTCCCACATGTATCTTGTAAGTTATCTGATCGCTCTTTCTGCATCTATCTATCTTTCCCTCCACTCCACCCCCCATGTGGAGCGCTGATGTCATTGCTCCACTGGTTGCCATTAATAGCTGGAAACAGACAGGCCTTCTTCACTTTGCTCTTAAAGGGACAGTGCACCCAGAATAGCACCGGGTCATGAGGATGCATGCAGCCTCAGAGGCTGTGGTGTTGTGAAATTGCTCCAAATACCAAAGCTGCTAACCTCTGAACATTTGCACAACCCTTTTTTTTTTTTTTTTTTTTGCAGCTTTTTATTATTCATGCTAGAGCTCATATCTGTTGAGTACACAGTCCATGCTGCTGACACTGTGTGCTCTGTGTGTGTGTTGGCCAGCCGTTGCTACATAAGTAGTGCAGCTGGGTGTGTGTTACAACGGAAGGCAATGTCCTGCCTGCACTGTGCTGTGTGTGCTACTTTAGAACAGTGATGTCATGTCTCACTCACTCACTCTCACTTTGTGACCGTGTGTGTGTGTGTTTGAGTGTGTTTGTATGTGCGCTAGTCCCAGATTGGGTCAGGCAGGGCTGAACCTAGATTAGGTTCTAATCTCCTTTCTGGGGCTCAGGGTTTCCTTGAAGCACTTCCCTCCCTTCTCTACACTCCTCAGCGAGGTCATTACCCACTCCTCAATAGACACACACACACAAGCACACACACACACACACACGCGCCTCACCCCTATCTCCCCTCGTTGGCCCCCACCCTGTAGTTATACAACCACTGTACTGCAGAGTAATGATGAGTGTGGGTATTCAATGAGTGTGTGTGTGTGTGTGTGTGTGTGTGTGTGTGTGTGTGTGTGTGTGTGTGTGTTGGGTGAACAGAGAATTACAGACAGTGAGAGTGAATATTGAGCATATGTTGACTGCAAGATTATGTGATCATGTCATCAGATTGTGTCTTGGAGTGTATCATCTTGTTAGTATGTGTGTGTGTGTGTGTGTGTGTGTGTGTGTGTGCGCATATGCAATTTCATGCATGTGTGTGTGTGTGTGTGTGTGTGTGTGTGTGTGTGTGTGTGTGTGTGTGTGTGTGTGTGTGTGTGTGTGTGTGTGATGTGCGGTTGTCAGGGGGATGTTACTGGGCCTCTGTCCTGGCCCTGCACCTGTGGCCTCTCTCATTCCCCCAGCCTGACGCAATGCACTGCTACAGGACATGAGCTCATGCAGGAAACAGAGCCACACACACACACTATACACATATGCCAAAAGTGGAGCCGCCTGCCTCTTAAAGGGCCAGACACACACATTCCTGGCCGCCCAGCATTTAACCTAACACTCACACAGAAGCTCAGAGAGCCTCTTTTTTGCTCCTGTTGCACTAAGCAGGACCCAGACATTGTAGCCCAGATTCACCTCTGAAAGTCAATAGAGCGTCTGTCTGCTCTGCTAATGGCGGTGCAACGTTTTTTTTTTTTGTTTTTTTTTCAGCGCTCTTGATGAGCTCATGGGAGTGTTTGCAGAGTTCCCAGTATGTTGTGTGACTGCTGTGTAGAAAACCATTACTGAACCTAATCACTTCTCTCCCACTCTAATTTCTCTGCAGGAGGTTTTGCAGCTTTCTCGTCCTGTTTCCCCGGCCTGTGTGAAGGGAAGCCTGCCACTGCTCTACCTATGAGCTTGTCCCAGCCCTGCTTGCCTGTGGCTAATGTAGGGCCCACTCGCATCCTGCCACACCTCTACCTGGGCTCACAGAAAGACGTCCTCAACAAGGTAGAGTTTATTTTGGCATCTTTTCATTCATTTCACCACTGTCAAAAAACGATAACTGACTTGTTATTGTTACCTGGCAACAAAACATGATCTTAAACCCCTTTTTACCTCTACCTCCGCAGGATCTGATGGCCCAGAATGGTATCACCTATGTGCTGAATGCCAGCAACACCTGCCCCAAGCCAGACTTTATCTGTGAGAGCCACTTCATGCGCATCCCAGTAAACGACAACTACTGTGAGAAATTGCTTCCCTGGCTGGACAAAACGAATGAATTCATAGGTAAGAGGAGGCTGACTTTACAAGGAAGTAAATTCATCTCAAGTGATATGTTAAAGAATGCCCTGATATTCAATACCACATGTCCGCATATTGTCATAGTTACTAAACATTCACGTGCAGCTTAAGCAACAAAAGCGTCAGGTATAACACATCCGTTTAGATGACCCCCCTGTACTCTTCCAGGAAATGTCAGTTTGCTTTCAATAGGTGCTGATTGTCTCCAGAGACTGTGTTTAAAATGAGACCTGTCAATGATCTGCAGTGCTGTGTGCGTTTCTGTAGAGTTGTGTGTACTCATACCTGTTCATTCCCCCCCGAACAGACAAAGCTAAGGTGTCAAACTGCAGAGTCATTGTGCACTGCCTGGCTGGAATCTCGCGTTCAGCAACCATCGCCATTGCATACATCATGAAGACAATGGGCTTGTCATCAGACGATGCCTACAGGTACGCTTGCTCCTCCCATCCACCACCAGCTGAGCTAAGGTGTCAGCCCCAGTAAAAAGGCAACTCACTGTTGACAGAAAAACTAGACGATTTTCTCAACCCCCACCCCTCCAGTCGTGAGAAATGAAATTGTTAGATGGCTGCTAGGGAACAGAGCGCGCACAAAAGGCTTTGATTTGCCTGAACAACACTGGCACAGGATCATGTATTGTATCAGTAAAAACTAGTTCATCTGGGGTAATTTTGCCCTTAAAAAGTTCCTCAGTACTTCTCATGATTTCACACATAGTACTTGCACCATTTACAAGAGTTGCCTTAAAACCACTTTGCTGTGACTAATATTTTCCAACTTTTTTTCTCTCCTAACAGGTTTGTAAAGGACCGAAGACCGTCCATATCCCCCAACTTTAACTTCCTCGGTCAGCTGCTGGAGTTTGAGAAGGGCCTGCGATTACTCCAAGCTTTAACTTCAACCTCTGATGATAAGATCTCTGAAAACAACACCAAGCAAAGCTCAGAGGTTAATGGAGTCAACACAGGCTTCGAGATTAACGGTCTCCACAGCAACTATGACTCATCTGTGGCAGAGCCACACATCCCACCAGAACCCAAGCTACCGTCACCCACCTCCCTCCAGCAAGGCTTCAATGGCCTGCACCTCTCTGCAGAGAGGATCATGGACACTAACCGGCTCAAACGCTCCTTCTCCCTGGACATTAAGTCTGTCTACTCACCCAATAGTCCCCACTGCCCCAGCCTGGCACCCACACACTCTGAAGACGTCCCCAAGCTGTGCAAACTTGACAGCCCAGGAACAGGCACCTCCAATGGTGTCTGCTCCCAGTCTCCCGTCCTAGACAGCCCCAGCTCCTCTGATTCACCATTCCCCTCACCAGGCAGTGGGGGCAGCATCGGAGGTTTGGGGCTCGGAGGAAGTGAAGGAGTCCATAGGTCTAGTTCTTCCTCATCCAGACCCAGGAGAAAACCCAAGCACAGCTCCAGCAGTTCACCGGTCCACCCCCATCCACACCAACCTCCACAGTCCCTCTGCTTGTCGCTGGACCACAAGAGCCCCAGCCTGGACGAGAACCTAAAGGGCTCCCTGCTTCTCTCACTACCGTCCCTGCCCACCGTGGGGTCCGGGGCCATGTGGACCAAACACAGAGACACTGTCCAGGCCACCACTCCTGTCACACCCGTCACCCCCACCACAGATGCCCCCTGGCACTTTGGGGCAGAGGAGGGCGGTGAGAGAGGGATGGAGCTGGGCGGAGGAGGGGACGGAGGGGGAGAGGAGTCCTCGGTGAGATTTGGGAGCAGCTCGGCGTATGTGGCGTTTGGGTGCAGTGAAGGTGTGCGGTTACGAGACAAATCCCAGAGGGAGAAGCCCTCGATGCCACAGATGCAGAGAGACCACCGGGACTCCACGTCATCGTCCACAGTATCCATGTCCAACAGCTCCAACAACAGCGGGACTGCGTCAGAGAAGCAGTTCAAGCGGCGCAGCTGCCAGATGGAGTTTGAGGAGGGCATCGCTGAGACACGGTCTCGAGAAGAACTGGGGAAGATCGGGAAGCAGTCGAGCTTCTCTGGGAGCATGGAAATTATCGAGGTATCCTGACAGATAATGGACATGATCAGAGCTGTCCCTTGGGGGCAAAAATGGACCTGTTTAGAAGAGGACATATGAGGAGAAGCAGAAGAGGGTTTTTTTGTGCCCCCCTCACAGACAGTGTTAAAGACTCCAACTGAGAGAAGGACAAATAGATGCAGGGAGAGAGTTAATGTGAAAAGGTTAGCAAGCGAACTAGCCTTCACACCTGGACAGACAGAGCCCGAGATGTGGTGCTTAGAAGACCATAACCATCCTGAACTTTCATACGAATCTGAAGAAAAGTCTAGGGGAGGGTGGGCTACAGGGGGGTAAACTGAAGGTACTGAAACTCTTAATGTTTCTGAGCTCTGTCACAGATGAAAAGAAACGACCCAGGCCAAGTTGCATCCTTATTATATAGAATACCCCTATTTTGACAGAGATCGGACACAAACTGCTTGCCTGTGGTCAAATGTAGTGTGCTTCAGTGGGTGTATAGCTTGTGATTTGAACCAAGCCCTATGTTTCCTCCCAAAGCTTCACCCCAGTGTCAGAAAGCCTCAGAACCTCGCACGGCAACGTTCCCACTCCCAACCCTTCCTTTCCAGGTGGCTCTGCCTGCTACAGACTCTGCATTACAACATCAACAACGATAACAGACTCCTTTACTGCAGCGTCTCCTCACATCACTCACAGCACAAGGCAGAGAGATCCCAAGGACTTAATCTAAAGGCGGTACTGCATCCAAACAATGAAGGATCCTCAGCATTTTGTTGATGAAAAGACTTTGAGTTGAAGACTCTTAGTGATGGGCAGTCTGCCTCCACCCCCTCACCCCCACCCCTCCAAAGCACAGTGTGTCTTTCCTGACTTTGGCTCCCTTGTTTCCAGTGTTAACAGCATGATGGGACTGAGGTTTCGGGATGGTGATGAGGGTTCATTTTAATAGCCCTTCAGCTCCTTTATAGACCCCCAACCCCCTCCCACGGCTCCCAGTCACCACTGAGCATGCACCAGAAAGGCTGACTACAGACAGACAAATACTATATATACAATATGAATATATATAGCAATTTTAATGGACTTCTAATGGACTTTTTTGTTCAGTTATAGTTTTAATTTATTGTACTGGTTCATTCTGGTAATGAGAAATAATATAATGTTTTGTGGATTTATTTCTTTTCTTCTTTTGTTGAATTATTATTATTATTATTTGCTGTATGGTATTTATGAACACACACTCATACAAATACACACATTCAACAAATTCAAACGAGCAATATGTGCTGTTCCTTCTTTGGGGAGAGTGATGTATGACTTTGAAATGCACTTTTCTGCTTTCTGATTAACAGTTTCGATTTCCATCCACACCCTGGCAACATGATACTCAGAAAGCCAAGTGTTGAGTTTTGATAATGCAAATATAGAGCCTCTGTTTGGTGTTAGGAGGATGGTACAGACATCCTACTAGTGAGATCTATAAGAACAGGGTCTCTGTTCTGGCTCAACTGTAGTGTGAATTCATGGGTTTATCACAATTGAGGGCTCAAGCGTTGACTAAAAAGACTGTTTTTTTTTTTTTTGACTGTGTGCAGACGAGGACAGAGTAGCCACACACTCTCTGATCACTCATATACAGTTAAACATGTTCTGCCAGTTTCATGAGGGCTTGCATAACAACAACTATATGCAAAAACACACACACACACTCTTTCACGAGATTTAATTGCACCGAGTGTCCTCTCCGAGCCAGCACCAGTACATCGGTCATCATCATAGCATGTCCCACCAAAGCTGAAACCAACACACACACACACACACACACACACACACACACACTCATACTGTATGCACTTACACTTATGTTCACACATGTAAAGCAAAGGCCCGACACACACCCTTTTGTTCATTCTCAGGGGATCTTTCAGTGAGCCAAGCCCGGCACAGGGTACACAGCTGCTGGTACATCAGCACAATGCATGTCCGTAAAGCTCCCTCGCTTTCTCTCCTTCTCTTTAATTTTTTCTTATTTCTTATTTCTTATTTTCCAAAGCTTTGATAAAAAAAAACAAAAAAAACAGCATAACAAAATGGAAAGGAAAAAATTAGGATCTTCATATCCTGAGGTGAAAGAAATGAAAAACTTTGCTCTCCTGGTGCGAGATGATTATTTATTTATAATGTAAAATGTGTTTATTTTTCCTTTGACCCTTGATTAGCTTTTCTCTCTGGCGATCTCTGACCTTTGACCTTGTGCTGCTGCAGCTACAGTAAGTTCAGATAGATTCCTATGTTCCCTCGAGGCTCAAGTAACCTCTCCTCACCCTTCTCCCTATATTTTTAAGAAATGTTGTTAGAATTATTTATGACATGTAACAAAGATGATGCAGGCTGTCCCATTTGCTAAAATTGTTGTTATTGAATTATTATTATTATTATTATTATTATTATTATTATTATTATTATTATTATTATTATTATTATTATTATGTTGTGTAAATAGCAACGCATCTAAGAACACTGATTAATTTAGATGAGTTTTTAAAAGAAAATCCTGATACCTTAGGCTGCTTGATGCAAAAATACCTCAGGTTCTATTGAAAGGCTTTTCCTTCCCCTGTACATGTTTTGTGAAAATGAGACAAAAATACAGACATGACAAAATACAACCTTCTCTCTGCTTCTTCTTCTTCTTGTGTGCTTGCATGGGGGCTGAATAGGGATGGGAAGGGAATTCCACCCAACGGATGAACAACACATTACGACATCCGGAGTCCTGGAGCCTTGCTATTGATTTTGTGTTTAACAAACTCCACTCTAACCGCACAACACAGCTTTATTGATTTTTTTGCCACATGCTTCCTTATGCTGATGGGATGGTGAATTATTTAATATAGAAGATGCATTCAGAAAATTACTTTCTAGAAAGACATGCCCACCTTATTATGAAATTTACTTCAAATTATTGCCTATGATGTAAGGTTGGAAGACAATTCAGCACAAATGTGAACAGTACAAAGAGTACAAATGTAAAAATAAAAGCCCTGCATTCAAAATGCTGCTTTTCTGAATGTAATTAAAAATTAAGCTACTACAAGGAGAAGACAGCAACAGTTAGCTTGCAACAAAAACAAAATCCCCGTCACCTCTAAAGTTCACTAATAACCACATTACATGGCTTTTGGTTAATCAAAAATCAAAGTGTAAAAAAATAAAAGCTATGATTTTAGTGAGGGTTGTACAGAGCCAGATTACCTGTTTCCTCCTTAGTGTTTAAACTAAGCTAAGCTAACCTGCTGCTGGCTCTAGCTTCATATTTAGCATAGATCAACCTTTTATTGAACTCAGCGAGAAAGCAAATATGCATGTTTCCTAAAAAAGTACAATATTTTTCTCTGAAAAGTAAAAGGAGTCCATGTACAAAGTAGCAGTAAACGAAAAGCACCTCAAAATCGTCTTCTTCGCTCTCAACGCAACATTCATTAGCTGCATTAACACGTGTGTGCGTCAGTTGCAGGGTCACTGAAAAAAATTTCTACAGAAAAGTGAATGTTGGCTGTTAATCGTGATTCAAAAACAACTTCAAAAGAGAAATTCAAAGGTTTATCACAATGTTAGCACAGTAGCTAACAGGAAATATTCCAGTACACACAAGTTGGTTACTTTTCTGTGTAAAAGTGTTACAGTACCAGGGGAGATAGAGAAAACCTGAGGTACACTCTCACAGGAGACATTATGGAAGAATATAGATATGTAATTGTCTGAGAATAGGGAAGGGACCTGTTAAACCACGCCTCTGACGAACGTCATCCTGTTGTTCCCTGTCTTCTTTCAGATTGACTCATTATCCCTCTGCTTCCTCTTTACTCCCAGCTCACACACACACACACACACACACACACGACTGGTTTTCAGGTCGTCACCCCCTTGGTTTCCCCGCTCCACCTCTTCCTTATCCAACTGTGTCTGTGGGCACAAGAGTGGGAGGGCGGCTGGTGAGGGTGCGGTGTTTGCCAGTGATGTGATGTGTTTGAACAGTGCTTACCTCCAGGGGATGAGAGAATGAGATGAGGTCGTGGTGTGTGTGTGTGTGTGTGTGCGTGTGTGTGTGTGTGTGTGTTTGTGTGAGAAAGACAAAGACAAAGAGAGGTATTTGCCTCCAGAGGACACAGTGTACACCGATATTACAAAAAAACAGCCTCCAAATCCAGTGGGGGGCCAATTCATCGAGTCCCCTCAATGGGGGCTTGACTACAAAGGCAGTTTTGGTTTCATGATGTCATGGTGGAATTTCACCTCATGCAATCAAACAACGTCTCTCTGCAATCAAATCATCACTCCTGAAGCCCCACCAATTGGTTTAATCCAGCCACAACAACCAGTGTGTTGTTCTGGGACTGACGGGTGACGTAAGGAGGAGCAGCAAAAAAAAAAAAAAAAAAAAAAAACCAGACACCCACACACACACACACACACACACACATACACATGCAAAACCAGATGGCCCTTGGCCTTTTTCAGTGAGCACAATACTGTCTTAATGAGCGTTTCACTGAGTCCAATAGGAGACAGGCAGAGGTAATGGCATTACCAGCATCTCCAGCTGAGTCCCTCTGCTGTTCATGTGTGTGTGTCTTTATTTTATGGCCATCATGGGAATTCTCCCTGACAAGACCACCACAGTAATGGGATACATTGCAAATCCCACTTTCTCACTTTCATTCTCTTTATAATGAACGGCCTATCCCGCATGTTGGTGTGTGTATTTATCACCTGGATCATAACGGATAATCCTACCACAATATGCTTCCTCTGTATATGTGTGTGTGTGTGTGTGTGTGTGTGTGTGTGTGTGTTTGTGTGTGTGTGTGTGTTTTTCAAGGTGCCCTCAGCTTGTATTATATGGATCTGCATCTCGGGTAACCTGCCCGTCTACAGTCTCCCCTCCACTGTGCTGAAGTCTGCATTTCTCTGCAGGTTTCCTGTTGCCAATGTACTGCACTCCTTCGAATAGCTTTCCAATGCAATGTTTCATCTGTTTTTTTTTTTTTTTTAGTTTTTATTTTTAACTTCTTTACTTCCCATGCTGTTTTTTTTTTTACTAAAACAAATACATATGGGAAAGTCAAGGCCTCTCAGTCAGCACGAAAGAACACAAATGTGTGCGTGTGGATACAAAGAAAGTCTGTGTGTGTGTGTGTGTGTGTGTGTGTGTGTCCAAATATGGGATACATTTCTATGTGTGCATGTGTTTTTTTATGCATGCATATGAGATGTTTATTATGTACGTGTATGTGTATTTCTGTAATGCATGTACAGATAGGTGAGGAAGGAAAAAACAGCTGTCTTGTGCACGCCTTGGCATACATGTAGATTGTGCAAGTCAGCATGAGTTGTCTGGTAAATACACAGCAAAAAACAGGCACTGATCATGGCAGTGAAATATTTTGAAGAGACAATGCCCGCCTACTGAGCTCCAGTGATTTACTGTACACAATGAGTACATGAGCACACCCCAAAACCCAAGAGTTACCTGGACATTAGTGCACATGTAAATGTGGTCATCCATGTGTAAAAGTCATTCATCCAAAAAATATTCCTTATAGATTTTTTGATGGTGGTGGAGAGCGTCATAGGTCTGCAGCTGCCTTTGTTATGTTTCTCCACTCTGTTCCCCTTTAATTTGTCACCTGTGTGTATGCTCTGTATGTGCCTGTGTGTATGTGTGTGTACAAATGTGGCATACACGAGTTTATATGTATGCTTGTGTTTCCACGTGGATACAGGCTGTTTACATGCTCGTGTATATGAAGTTTTGTATACATGACTGAATGGTCACTGTATGACAGTAAAGCTCATGTCAGTTGAACTGAATTTCTGACACATTTGTGTATGCATGAATGTGTGTTGCAAATGTGTGAGTGTGCGTGTGTGAGTGTATCCTCCCTCTCATGGTGGCTGATGGGTACCAGACACATCCATGCTGAGGGTCTGCCTGGCGCCTGGTCCCAGGCCTTCTATATGGAAACAGTTAGGAACCGTTACGTCAGCAGGCTACGGCACTCTCCGCTTTTCCACTTGCACACACATCAAGTGCACTCACACATACACACACACATAGACACACATGCACACACACATATTTTTCACAGAACATGCCTACTTTTTCTTCCTCTCTTTCT